TCAGTTTGCACCAATTAGCCACAGGTGGCAGAGCACTTGGAAGTGTGGCTGAGGAAACGAGCAGGCACATATCGCCAGCGGCCACATCAGAGGACATTACAGGATAGCACGTGGCCGAAGCCTTCCCAGCCGCCTCTGTACCGCCTCCCGCACCTCCCCTGGCTCATTCTGGCCCTGGAATAGCCTGGCCCTCTGTGGGCTTCCTCCCCTCAGCTGGAACTCTTTCTTCCTCTTACTCCATGAAGCTCAAGGGAAAGGCACCTCAGTGAAGTCAGCTGGGAAGGCCCATCTCACTCCCGCCTCTCTCTGGGGAAACCATGGAGGTTTGCCTGGCGAGGTGCGAGGCTGGTACCCAGCAACGTCAGGCAGGGGTGTTATCCCCATGTTGCCATCAGGAAACAAGCTTAGAGACACAAAGAAACAGCCAGGTCGATAGAAGCAATGCTGGCTTTGCACCCAGGTTGGCTCTGGCTGTCTGCTACAGTCGCGCCACCTCCCCGGCTCCCCTCCTCCCAGAAAGCCACAAAGACGCTTTAGGAGTGTTCTAGGTGGGGCAGAGGCCTCGCAGGTCTGGGGCCTGACTGCAGGGCAGCCACCTGCTTCTCTAAAGCCAAAGGCCTCGAAGGACACAGGGTCCCGTCTCTACCCATCTGTGGCCTGCTGCCTACAACACGCCGTGTTACCGGTGCCTTGCTCTTCTCCTTAGTAGGAGGAGGTGCAGGGCTGGATTGGAGGCTCTCTGGGTTAGGGCCTGTTGGCGTAATTTTTTTTTTTTTGCAGAGATTTTTTTGCTATAGGGTACATGCACTTGCTGGAAAGACAGAGACAGAGAGACAGAAAGTGAGAAGTCACCCCCCCAGAGGGGATGGCCACACTCCAATCCCTTCTTCATTCTCCTCTCAGGATCTTGGGCACGCATGCACATGTGCCCAGCGTGAGTTTAAGCCACCTGGTCTGGGACTCGAATGGTGGTTGACTATGTGGGAGTCCAGCGACATAGCCATTACACCATCTGCTGGTCCCAGCATAGTATTTTTATAATGCATAGGATTACAAAGAAAATCAGTGATAATGAAATATAGTTATCCTGGGATAACTATTGATAATATAGTTATCAAAATATAAAAAGCCTAGTGCTTAAGGGAACTGGATACCACATCGCCAACTATGGTTTGAACCACAGCTCTGGTGGCTTGGGAAGCACACCAGGTACATGTATGTGTGTGCCCGAGATCCTGACAGGAGGGGGAAATGGAAGAGAAGGGATTGTAGTGTGACCATGTTTCATTAGGGTTGCTTTCTCTCTCTCTCTCACTGGTGCACACGCATGCTCTCTAGCAATTAAAAGAATATTTGTGTGTGTGTGTGTGTGTGTGTATATAATCTGGATATTGTAACATGCGCTTCTTTACTAACTCACTAAATAACAAGACCTAGCAGCAGAGGTAGAAACCACAGACGTTTAGAGGTAGTCGTGAGTAGAGGAGAGAATAGTTTGTCTCTGCAGCAACAGAAGTCTCCGGGACTTCCACTGGTGACAAAGCCCCAGACCCACTCTGGTCTCTGTAGACTGTGGTCTGCTACCTGCGTTTGTAATGGTGATCTCTCCCACTCCGCACAAGTCCCAGCCCTCTGATTTCTGCCCACAGCTGTGGTCACAAGTTTTGTGCTTCTGGACTAGGTGATCATGACCCCCCACCCTCTGTGCCCTGAAGGGCTGACCTCCTCCCGTGACTGTGGCTGGGCCCTGGGCCAGTTCTGCCCTCCACAGCCTGGCCCCGAGGCTGAGTGCCTGGCAAGACAAGTGGAGTGGGCCGCTTTCCTCAAGGCTCTCAGGACTACCCCCTCGCCACCGCCACGGATGATGCAGGAGACTGGAGGGCCGTTCCAGAAGGTAGGCTGGGAAGGAGGAGAGATTTCCTATCCTGGTGTGTGGCGGGGGCAGGTCCTGGGATTTGAGACGCAGCCTGCTGGGATTTACATCCTGTCCCCACCTCTCTCTAGCAATAGGGTCTTGATCAAACAGCCTAAGCTCTTGACCTTCCAGTTCCTCCAGAAACCGGCTGAGAGCAATTCCCGCCATTAGGGTTGCCATGCAAAGGAAACAAGATCTTGAGGAGCACCCACGGGCAGCAGGGGGTTAGGACTGGAGGGCAGGGTTACTCCAATTTGTTTATGTCCTCCGAATTCGGGAGTTCACCGGAAGTAGCTTTGTTCCTGATGACTGACTCCTGGGCCTTCCTCCCTGGGACTAAGCTGAGCCTTGGGACCCTGTCCTCTTAACCACCATGCAGCGGGCTGACCCAGTGGTCTTCGAACTTTTCTTTTCATTTTTAACTAGTGGGGAAAAGATTTCCAAATGAAATCTTCAGGGAAACTCCACATCCAACAGCCAAGGGAGGTGAGCTGCTGTGGGTGAGAGATGCCGGAGCATCTGGGTCGGGGTACGGCTACGGGGACAGCGGGAACCGCAAGACCTTGTCAGACCACCTGTGGAGGGTCCCAGGCCTCTCCCCTACCTCCCAACACTCATGGTGGCTTCCCCACTCTCCTGTTGGCAGTCTATCTGAACCACCCTCCCCCAGGCACTCCAGGTCCCTTCCCTGTCTGAACTGGGCCCTGTCTACCCCGCCCCCAGCTTTAAAAGGACTCCAGGCCGGTCTACCACTCACTCCTCTGCTCCTGCTCACCCCTCTTCCTCAGGGGGCCACGGTCTGTGCCCCGAGAGCAGCATCAGAAAACAATTGGCCTTGTTATAAGTAGGTGGTAACTGCATGCAATATTAAAAATTCCCCTTCCTGTAATACCTAAAATAGGGAAGCAATACAAGCATTTTTCTCATAGTGAAAGAAAGACGCCAAAACAAAGACCGAATGCAGAGACGGTTCCTGAAACACTGCCCACTCTTCCCGGCAGCCTTGAACAGCCCATCTAGGGCGAAGTCCTTCCTCCCGTCTAATCTTAACCCTCCCTGCCTCGGTCCACAACCCCGTCTTCCAGTCGTATAGTTTTGGATCATGACCATGCCTAGGAGACAATTCCCTCGCTTCTATCTCACTTGCTGTGTGACTACGGGCAAGACACCACCCCTCTCTGAGCCCAGCCAGGTGAGGCAGGCCCCCCAAGCTTCCCCGCTGTCCCCTCTTGCCTGTCAGCGGCGATGGCTGTCATGGAGTAGATGCTGACAAACATGGCCATGATGGGGAAGAGGTTCTGGAAGTAGCAGAAGGCACGGCCGAAGTACCAGATGTTGTGGCTGGCGTAGACGAAGTTGAAGGTGGCGTTGAAGGCAGCCATGCAGAGGTCGGCCAGGGCCAGGTTGACGATGAAGTAGTTGGTGACCGTGCGCATCCTCTGATGGGCCAGGATGATCCAGATGACCGTGGCATTGCCCACCACAGCCACCAGCACCAGGCCTAGGTAGGCTATGGCCCACAGGGCCAGCTGCCAGCCGGGCATGGAAAAGGCTGTGACTCCGGTGGCATTGCTCTCGAGGCTAGACGAGATGTTGGTGTCATTCACAATGGCACAGGACCCCATAGTGGCTTTGGGTCTGGGACCAAGGGCCTGGCTCCACACTCCTCCCGGATTTGCTGCGGAAGAGAAATCCTCTCTGGTGCGCGGGTATTTGAGAGAAGAGTAGAGCAGACGCCAGGGGAGCCTGGGGCCACTCCGAGGGCTCACGCAAGGAGGAGGTAGGGTGAGCAGAGAGCCGGGTCAGGAACCACGGTCGTTTTAGATTCTCTCATCCCGGCCAGACCTCTCAAAGGTCACGTGGAAATCTAGAATTCAAATCCCAGTTTCCGAGCAAGAAACAGCCTTACAAATCATTGGATCAACTTCTTCTCCGAGGAGATGGAAGATTGACACTCCAGGAAGGGATGTGACCAGTCCAGGTCACTCAGTAAACTGTTGACAAGCCAGGATTCAAACCCAGTCCCTCCCAATGCTTTTCAGAAATCATCCCAGATCAGAGGAGCATACAGCTGGCATCCTTAGGTTCCACAGGTCAAGTGGGTAACAAGTCACCTCTGTAGGTTTTGGGGCGCAAGCTGGACTGGGGGCCGGGGCATGCTCATGACTCTGCCAACCACAGCCCTCGCCTCTGCTTCCCTCTGCTCTCCGGTGTGGGGCAGGCCAGGGCCTTGGCAGAGGCGCCTCTGCCGGCTCACGAGGTGGGGCTTTGGCTCCCACCCCACGTCCCACCCCCTGATTGGATGGCCTGGCCTTGTCTCTTGAAAGATTTAAGACTGCCTGCTGAGCAGGCAGAGACCCGGGGAATGGGGCTGGGCAGGTGGGGGGGCTGGTGTGAGGGCATAGTGCTGGTGGGTGTTTACATTCAGCCCGGGGCAGCGCTCCATCTCGAAAGTGGTTTGGAGCAGCATGGGAGCTAGACCTCCTCTGAGCCTGGCTTGGTGACTCCAGGCAAGGCTCTTAGAACCTGGCCGAGCCCTGGCTTAATACACCGGAAAAAATGGGGAAAAGGTGTGTCCCTCACAGAATATTTGTAAGTTTTAAATGAGATAACGTGCATAAAGTATATTTAGCACAGGATAGGCCCATAAAAAGCATGCGCTGGGGACCAGCAGATGGCATAATAGTTACGTTGCTGGACTACCATATAAATGACTGTGGTTCGAGTCCCGGACCCAGTGGCTTAAGACTCACACCAAGCATGTGTGTACATGCCCAAAGTCCCGAGAGGGGAATGGAGGAGAAGGTGTGGCCATCCCCTCTGGGGGTGATTTCTCACTTTCTGTCTCTGTCTCTCTAGCGAGTGTGCATGCCCTATAGCAAAAATCGCTCAAAAAAAAAAAAAAAGAAAAGAAAAGAAAAAAGAAAAAAGAGAGAGAGGGAGAGAAAGAGAGAAAGGAAGAAAGGAAAAGAAAGAAAAACCATACCATGGACTCGTGGCCCTGAGGAAGGCCCCCAGATGGCTCCAGATCCTGCAGGAGAGAAAAGACAGACCTGCAAGCAGTCCGACCAGTTCATGGGCAATGCTGCAGCTGCTGGTTCAAGGCCCACTCTGGAGCCATTGTCTTAAGACAAGGACAGAGCTCACTGCTTCTTTGAGTTTTAAGCCCTGAGGGGCTGCTCTGGGTTCGCAGGGTAACTGCCTTCAGTCTTTGTGCGTGTGTGTGCTGGGCACTGAGTGTAGTTGTGATGTTTCCGACTGGCTGACATATGTGAGCTCACCCACACACATGTTCTGTGCACACCTGTGGTGTGTGGACCCCGAAGTTGGAGCAGGCTTAGAGGGCAGGACATGTCCCTCGTCAGAACAGAGGAGGGCCCTTGTACCAGCAAACCTCTACCCAGTGACCCCCTAGCTCCGAGGCTCTGTGGGCCTAGATTGGCTTCTCAAGGCCTCCACCCCATGCACTTGGCTCCTGCCCTGCCCCTGGTGCATCACGTTCCACACACATGGCTTCCTGCCTCTGTGGCTGAGCTGCGAGAGAATTTTACATCTGTAGTGTTGAAAAGAGGATGTCATCCATGAAATCCAAAATAAAAATGCTAAACCATAAGTCTCGAAACTTAAACTTAGTTGACATTGGAAAAGCTTTTTGTTTTTGTAGGACAGTGTCATGCTCCTCTGGCCCCAGTCTTCTGAGCAGGGCTACAAGTGCCGGCCGTGAGACTGGACCAGGCCTCCCACGTGATCCGAGTGTCTTAGCAGCACGTGCCACTGCAGCTAGGCTGGAGAGAGCTTCTTTCTAGGTTTTTCCGACTGGGAAGCTCAGGGTAAGTTCATCGCGCATCAACATGGAAGGTCTATCTATTGTTTCGTGTCCCTGCTCTGCAGGCGTCGTGCTGCGTGTGCTGGGCTCAGTGGGATCCAGCCCTGTCCTTGGAGAGGGCCTGCTGGACCCTTGTCCTCCCAGGGGTGCACATTGTTGTTCTCTTCCCCTCCTAGAGCCAGCTCCGGACAGAACCAGCTCCAGCCCTGGCTGGGATATGAGGCAGAGACTCGTGCCCTCCCTGGAGTGGCCACCATTGTCTGTTTGACTTTGGTCTCTTGCTAAAGGGTCTCTCCCTTTGATCTCTCCGGTGTGGCAGCAGCCCCTCCACTCTGGGTCTTGTTTCTGTATTGCACTCTCTTGGCCAGGTCCTGGCGGGCAAAACGTGTAGAAATGAGAATGTGAGCACAAGACAACCTTCTCGCTGCCGTCCTGCCTCCTCTCCCAGCTGGGATCTGTTGAACTTCAAGTGCAGACACGGGGCAGGGCTGGGATGCCTGAGAGCGGGGCTGAGAGCCTGAGACCACTGGTCATGGGAGCCCAGAATAGTACGAGTGCCCCCTCCCCCCAACATCCTGCCACCTCTACTGTATATGTAACGGGAGGTTTTTCTGGCACTATTAAATCTAGTTTTTATTTCCTCCTTAAATCATTCTTGCAGCTTTCGACTATGTGCTAAAGGCTTGGAGCCTCAGGAAGGAGAGGGTGGGGCCTCCCTGGACACGGGGTGACTGACCAGAGCTGGCTTGCTGAGTCCATAGCTAGACAGTGGTCTTGTCTGGTCTTTGATAAAAGAGGGAAAAAAAATTCTCGGGCTTGCCCTGTGGTCTAGTGGTTAGGGAAGCTGGAGCCCACATGGCTGACCACAGTTAGAATCCTGGCCCTAATAGCTCAAAAAACACCCTGGATATGTGTGCGCACGCCCCAGATCTCAACAGGATGGAGGAATCAAGGAGAAGGAATTGTAGCATGACCACGCTCTGTTGGGGAGTTCTTCCTCTTCCTCTCTCTTTCATCCTGTCTGTCTCCTGCAAGTGCACATGCCCTCTGGCAATAATAATAATAATAATAATAATAACAATAATACAATCTCTGTTCCTTTAGCTCCTATTAACACTCCGAGGCTGTGGGTTTTGCTTCTCAGGGTTTGTGTGTGGAAAGTCCCGACTGGGCAGGGAGGCGGCAAGGCTGTCATGGCCCCGACCAGGTTCGTGAGCTGATGGCGCTGTGGGCACCTCCAGGAAACAGACTAGGATTCTGAGTCCAGTGTGCAGGATGTTTATTAGGGAGGTGCCATTGGGGTTGGCATCTGGGAAGGGCCAGGAAGGAAGCAAGAGGGGCTGAAGGGAGAAGCTGAGCTGTGGGGCAGGCCCAGCAGCAGCCGGGACAGCCTGTGGTCACTGGGAGTGAGCAGGGCTGTCAGAGGGCTGTCAGAGCTGACCGTGGGCAGATGTGTCCAGGCCCTCACACTCCCACATTGACCGCTGGACGTAGGCCACCCCTAGGAGGGGCCTGGCTATTGACAAGGCAGCACTTTGCAGCTGCAGTGAGGCCTGCAGGGGTGACAGCACGCCCAGCAGCTTGAAGGGGGATGTGGGAAACAGAAGGCAGTGTCCCCACAGCTGAACAGCAGCCACCCTTAGATGGAGGCCTGTGCGCTCACTCATCTCCGCCACCGTGACCACTGGCCTAGTGGGCTTACTTGTAGACCGAGGTGGGAGAAGTTGTTTTTCAGGGAATTAGGAAGAGAAAAGGGGGGAAGCAGTGCAGGGTATGCAGAAAGTGAGTGGGGGAGAAAAAGGGGCTCCAGAAAGCATCATAGACTAGGTGCCCCTTTGCCTGGTGGGAGAGATGCCTTTAGAAGTCACCTAACTGGGGCCAATGATGCACAGCAGGGAGAAGCGATGCTCTGCGAGGGACAGCATGGCAAAGTTCTGGGTTCGGATTCGGAGACGTCTCTGAGCACACTGGGCATGCGTATGCCTGAGCTCCGGGCTATCTGAAGCTGAGGGTGGGTCGTGGCATCGGGACCCTGTTGGGGTGCTGTCTTCTCTCTCTCATGGGAAGAACTACACTAACAGACATAAAAAGTGTCTGGCTACGTCTACACGGAGGTGGCTGCTCTGGGTCACATGCCGTGTTGCAGGACAGCAGTGCCGTGGGCCATCTAGTCACCGTGAAGTGGTGCCAGCTGGTGCCAGAGTTCACCTGGACTGGGCAAATGAGGACAAGAAGGAAAGTGCAGTGAGTTTTTATCTAGGTAAGTGAGTCTGGCTGAGAGGGTCATCCTTCACGGTGGTACTGTGCCCTCCCTAACTTGGGGTCAAAATGCCCTTTCTTTCATGAAATGCTGGTGATTGTCATCACCAAATGGAACTGTTAACCTGGTTTTACTTTTCCTCTAAAATTCAAAGAGCTTTTTCTATGGGGCCAGCAGATGGCCTAGCTGTTATGTCTCTGGACTCCCACACGGCTGACTGTGGTTTGAGTCCTGGATCTGGTGGCTTCAAAATCACACCAGGCGCATATGCATGCATGCTGTAGATCCCAGGAGGAGGAGAGAGGAAAGAGATTGTGGTGTGGCCATCCCCCATGGGGGATAATTTCTCATTTTCCCTCTCACTGTGTGTGTGTGTCTCTCTCTCCAGCAAGTACACATATTCTAAGGCAAAAACCTCTAAAAAAATAAAGCTTATTCATTTATTTCTTCCATGAAAGAGTATGATGGAGGAGAGGACAGAGACAGCACCCCAGCAGGGTCCTTGTGCTGTGACCCAGGCTCAGCCTCAGCCAGCCCCA